GTCAGAGAGGAGGGGTCTGATCCGTTAGATGGGAGGGGTCTGATCTGTCAGAGGGGAGGGGTCTGATCCGTCAGAGGGGAGGGGTCTGATCTGTCAGAGGGGAGGGGTCTGATCCGTCATAGGGAGGGGTCTGATCCGTCAGAGGGGAGGGGTCTGATCCGTCAGAGGGGAGGGGTCTGATCCGTTAGATGGGAGGGGTCTGATCCGTTAGATGGGAGGGGTCTGATCCGTCAGAGGGGAGGGGTCTGATCCGTTAGATGGGAGGGGTCTGATCCGTCAGAGGGGAGGGGTCTGATCCCTCAGAGGGAGGGGTTTGATCTGTCAGAGGGAGGGGTTTGATCTGTCAGAGGGAGGGGTCTGATCGCTCAGAGGGGAGGGGTCTGATCCCTCAGAGGGGCGGAGTCTGATCCGTGTGGTTCTGTACTCACATGATGGGATGATGAACTGGGGCTCTGTGTTTCCTGCGTAGCCCAGTTTGGTGTATCTGGAAGAGAAGAGGAGCACAGCTCTGTCATGTTGTTGGACCAGTGTTCCCATCAATCCCTGCACTGTGGTTACAGGGGGGGTCTGAAACCAGCTGCAGCTCAGGTCTTTAATGTGGCTCAGTAAGAGTCATTCATGAAGCTCAGTGAACCCAGGATCTGTAGAAACTAAAAACCACCTCAGACCCACTGATCCAGGTCCAGGTTCTGGACTCAGACCTCCTCTGGTTCTGTATAAACTGAGTTTCATGTGTTCACCAGATGTGTGGAGCCTAAAGGACTGACAGAGGAACAACAGACCGGGTCCAAACAGAACCTCCTCAGGAAACAACAGAACCCTTTAAAACCTGTTTCTGCCCTTCTGATGCAGAGAAACTGATTTAAGTTTTTATAAAACAGGAAACAAAGAGTTCCTGTGCAGAACAATAACTTTATAATAAAAACATTTAATAACTTTATAATAAATACATTTTATAACTTTATAATAAAAATTAATCAATCAAATCAATTAATCATGAATAATTTTGTTGCCAGTAAAGTCACCTAAAGCTATTTAATGAATCAGGGATGTGTTCCTGCTGTAAATATATCTAAACCATCTGAAGTTTGTTAGTTTTGGTTTCAAGCTGAAAATAAATCTGATGAAATCTTTTATTTTCTACACTGAAGAATAAAATCAGCAGCTGTGCATCATCAGAAACAAATTAAACTTCCACCACAGCTTTAATCTGTCTGCAAACCTCMTTCAAACATGTCCACTGGKTCAGGAGATATTTTGCTAACAGAGGATTACACAGCCCTCTACAGTCCATAATCCAACTCAGTGATTTCAGGTTCAGATGAGGCTGAAGAGGTGAAATATTTATATTATTTCAGATTTTAGCATCAAACGTCCTCATCTGAACATAAACTCCACAGATCTGTTTCCTCAGCTCATTCCACAGAGAGGTCTCAGCACGTCGACTCCAACCTGCCTGAACAAGTCGAGAACACATCAGACCCAACAGAACTCCCTCAGACCCAACAGAACACCGTCAGACCCAGCAGAACACCGTCAGACCCGACAGAACTCCCTCAGACCCAACAGAACTCCCTCAGACCCAACAGAACACCGTCAGACCCAGCAGAACACCGTCAGACCCGACAGAACTCCCTCAGACCCGACAGAACACCGTCAGACCCGACAGAACACCGTCAGAACACCGTCAGACCCGACAGAACACCGTCAGACCCGAGAACACCGTCAGACCCGAGAGAACACCGTCAGACCCGAGAGAACACCGTCAGACCCGACAGAACACCGTCAGACCCGACAGAACACCGTCAGACCCGACAGAACACCGTCAGACCCGACAGAACACCCTCAGACCCGACAGAACACAGTCAGACCCAACAGAACACCGTCAGACCCAACAGAACACCGTCAGACCCAACA